CCCCTTTTAAAAAAAAAAAAAAAAAAAAAAGGAAATTTTATGTAAGGATAGGAATCAAATGAAATATTCAGTATAGTGCCTGGGTCCAGTGAGAAATATTCTTGCATTCTACTGACTTAAAAGCTGACATACTGATAAATGGTTTTGGTTTTGGTACTTCCTAGTTTTAAAAAAAAAGTAGATTTTGCTTTGTTTTTGTACTGTTTGGCAGTATCTGAATTTCTGTGATCAGTTTATTATGCCCAGCCTGTTAGCTGTTTGTATTGCAAAAGGATACCAGTAACTTTTCTATTGGCATAGGGCAGGGGTATCAAACATGGTCTATGAAGCCATTTCACCCAGCCTGTGGGGCTTTGAGAGGATTAAGGTTGGGACCTGCCACCTAATTCTTAGTGATGGAGCTATGATAGGCATGTGTTAGTGGTGGGGGAGACAAGTGATGGCTGTATTAACCCTTGTGCCACTGCTAACCGTGCTGCTGCCAATGCTCCCAGATCCAGATCTGGACCAGCAGGTTCCTTGCAGTCTGAATAAGTTTGACACCTTTGGCTTAGGGCATCCACAATAAGAGTCAGATGCTGTATGACAATATAGGCAAGGTTTTTGGAGTAAACTGTTGCAACTATTTTAGTTGGTCTGATAAAAGATATTGGATTTATCTAAAGACCCTTGCCTGTCTGTGTCCTTAGACCAACATGGCTATAACCTATACATATGACAATAGATAAATACCAGTGCAATTTACTGCCATAAATTACAGGAGTAACTGTAATGCCATGTCCATCTCCAATCAGAATATTATCCCATGTTTGTATCACAAGTCCAGGTACTGGACTATCTCTATATTTAAGCTGTTTCTGATTTTAGATGTTTGAGCAGAATCTTCAAGTAGCTGCTCAAATAAGTGAAGATTTGAAAATGAAGGTTCTGCTTCTGTGTCTTCAACAAATGAATTCATTCTTGACTAGGTAAAACAATTTGTTCTGTAATCTCTTAATCCTTTCTTTTTCTATTCCATATTGTCACCTGCATTTCCCTGTTGCCCAGTCTCTTTTCTCTCCCACGTAAGCTGCTTATCTATATGGTCCTTTTTATCTCTGGACATGGTATGCGGTTACCCTTTTTCCTTTTCTGCCTCCCTCTTAAGGAAGTTCTGTCTTATTTAGTGGCTGGCAATTTCAAACTCATTAGTGGCTGTACTCTGAGATCAGGTCCTATTTTTTTTCACTTCTGCAATGTAGTAAAGGCTTCTGATAGAGATAGCTGAGCCAAGTACCTCTTCCTTGTGTTCAGCTGACTTTCTTTAAAGAGTCCTAGATGCATGTGGAATCTGCTGGAAATTAGGAGATCTGGCACTATGTGACCAATTAGCCTCCCACAAAACCCTGTAAGCATTCAGTAGGCCATCACTAAGTACTTGGCTTACTGTTCATGCACTCTTTTTACACTTGTATAGCTTTTTGTTTGTTTAATACTATTATTTGTGTTCTTACCAGGTACAGAGAAGAAGCACAGTTCTATAAAGAGGAGCACTTAAAAAATCGTCAGTATCCCCAGTGTTATGTTCAGTACATGATTGCAGTCATCAACAACTGTCAGACCTTCAAGTATGTATGCACAATTGGAGAGTGCTATGAAAAATTAGTATTCATTATTGATGTCAGTTTATAAGGTAATAAATACAGATGTCTAATGTGAGTGGCTCTCTTAGACAAAACCCTACCAATATCCTTTTTTTGCACCAAAAGACCTTCATCTCAGATGTCAGCTGACTGCAGGAGGTGGGGAGGGAGGTCCCAAGCCATCAGAAGTATAGTACAGGCAGACACTGAAACTGGCCACTGAGCAAAGACAGATCAGACTGAGCAAATTGTTCACCATTCAGAGTAAATGAACTAACCACACCTTTGCAAATCTTTTAGTAGAAGCAAAATAACTATTCTTTGTATCCCATAGAACAAAGGCATGATCATTTTTAAAAATCTTTATTCATTAGTTTTGACCTGCAACACATACTCCAGCTATCCTGCCTTAATTTTGATCTCTCACAAGTCACTATAAAGCTGGATGATGCATGTGGGCAAAACTAGGGAAGAAAAGTTTGTAGAGCCCACTTTACTATAAAATCTTACTCAACTTTTTTGATATGGTCCTCTGGCAACATTTCTCCTGCTCTTTTGGCAATGTTCTGTTTTTGTAGCAAGTGCTGGGCCTCAGGGATGGCTATGGCTCCCCCTGGTAGCCATGCAGCTCCTGCTTCACTCTGGCTCTCTGAGTATTCTCCCCTTCTTCCTGCCTGCCATGCCTTGATGTAATTATTTAACTTGGAAAAGGGAGG